CTATATTTTTAAGACGATTCTACATATCAAAAAGCAAATCTAGAGACATTGTTTCTTTGATCAAAACTAAAATTGTGAGAAATATATCGAGGTTTTGAAGTTTTACACAACATTAAGAATGCTGTGTAACAATCATTGCTCATTTCAGAACTAGTGGACGAATAAGTTTAAGGGATAAAATTGATTAAAAATTATTAATAAATATTAATTAGAATTCCAGATACACGAATGAATATTAAGTAAGAAATGTGACGGATTGTGACTTTCTCTTCAGATTTTATAAAGAAATAACGAATTCCCGGAAAAATAACAAACACGATTAGGAAGCTGCGTGATATGCTGATAAAGTCTCGTTACATCACGTAATAATTTGACAAAATCCTCACATCTCCGTTTCCATTCGTCACTCACAAATTCCTGTACCTTCTATAACTCATACAACAGAGAAATTAAAAATGTAGCATGAACCCAAATTTCAAATTGTATTCATAACGAAAACTTCATAGAGTGAATATTTGTATAACAGATACATTCCAAATAATAAAACATGGAGTTGGATAAAAACAGAGTTCTTCAAATAGCCTTTTTTATACACCGTTACTTCGAGGCATCCAATTTTTTATAACACAAAAGGAAAAAAATACTATCAACTACACTGTAATGTCATGAGATATTGTGAAAATGAATACTGGAGCAGCAAAAAATTGAACAACCTGGTCATCAATACCACTACTACTGCTTCGCCTCATCACGTAAGAGTTTTCGTGAAGCCAAGAAAACTCCTGCAGTATTTGAATGCCACGGCGACCATGCTCAAATGGTAAATAAAACATATCGACAAAGATTGCTACCTGGTCCACTCCAGTGACACTGTAACAGTTTCACGTTAGAACGACTCATATTTGTATGTTGTTTTTAAAAAGCACCGAACAGACTATATTTAGCATGTACAAACAATACATTTCTCAATCTAATACAGAAGAATAAAGAAATAAGACAGAGTTTGAAATACTTCGCTTCCGAATCGGAATGAAAACTGCTGTCCATACTGATATCTGACGAAACTTCCAGCATTTCCTGAACATTTCCTTTGTTTTGATATGACGATTCCAATGGCAGCTTTGTGTCATCCTAGAAACCGATCAACGACATTTACGAAACATGAACTGGAGTCGAACATGTCTTTTAAAGAGATCAAGAAATGTCAAAAAACCTTAGTAACAGACATCAGATCCATTGGCTCACTGTACTCAGAACACATTGAATTCACGGTATGTACTACTGAAGTGTTCTAAAAATGAAACTAATGGAAGATTTAAACTAAGTCCAAAGGATGCAATTAAATTCATCAGTCGTTGAAATGAAATTTACAAAACATAAAGTTGAATATCTGTACAACTGTATCATATAATTAATTTTAACATTAGAACAGTTTCTTAAATCCAGTTACATAATCACCAGTTTTGGGTGATTGTATAATTGGAACTACCTCAGCGTTGAAACAAACAATTGATGTTTGATTGTCTCTACTGTCTGGGCCATTTAGTTCTCGAGCAACCAAAGAAATACAACTTGTTGATGGTTTTAATTCGTCGAGTTCATCAACTTCGGCTATTTCAACAGAAACAGATCTGAATCATTTTGGTACGATCGCGAACACTTTAAAACTGGTTTTACTGAAATAAAGTATAAGACCAGCAAATCTGAGAAGCATTAACTTACGCATGAGAATTTGTTGATGACTCGGCGTTAAAGTATTCAATCCATTTCTTAATACCTTCATCTAGGGCTTTTAATGGATGATATAATCGTTTCGGCGAAGCATTTTCAACAATATGTGCTGCAACAGGAACTACATCACCTGCCTCTAATATAGCATCTGATTCCGCTTCTGAAAAGAATCAAGACAATATAAAAGTGGGAGGAAAAATATAACACCATTCAGTGACTTTTGAAATCCATCCTTAAGTTTTGTATGACATTCTCACTTAAATCTTAAATCTCCAGTCCTTTGATATAAATACAAAAACGACTTCTTAACGCTCTAAAATGATTTTAAAAAGGTAAGCTGTAACAGTAGCACACAACTCACTCCTTCAGAAAAGCTTTACCTTACTAATACAATCTCCAAATGATCAAAAATAAGCATTGTGGCGATACCTTCCAAAACATCAGCATCTGCATGACAGCTATTCCATTCTGCTAATGTGTAGAACGGCAAAAAATTAGCTTCATAACGACAGTTTGGATTCAACAAAATTCCAGCGATCTCCTCTTTCAGTCGTACAGATCTGCAACACTTCACAGGAATAATTTAGACCTTAGCACAATACAGAAATGTTTTTTCAGCTCTATATATACACACCTTCCTGCAAACGGACCCAGAAAAACCCGTTTAGGATCATAATCATTGGCATGCAAATTATCCCAGACCACCGGTTTCCTTTGTAGCACAGCAGCGACACGTCGAATGTGATCGATTGTAATTTCACGGGACACCACCCGAGGTCCTGAAATATAGCTATTTAAATTATTGATCCTTTACTGAATGTAGCAAAGTCTCCGTAAAATGACACACATAGTTTTAATATATAATGCAAAACGCACCTGTCCACAAAATATGTATATCAGCAACCAGTTTTTTACCAAGCGTAAGTAAATAGTCTGACTCCTCTAATGACGGATTCGCTCGTGACTCGCAGTACTCTACAAAAGAAATTCATCTTTGAAAGGGCATATTGCCGTTAATGCATAAGACAAGTAATAGTAACCTTCAAAAAAGTGCTCTCAGATAAATTAGGAAGATTTTAAATGACTGGCCAAGATGTGTGAAGCAAAATTTGACATACAGTAACCTGTAGGACAAAAAAAGAAATGAGGACACTTCAAAAATTCGTATAAAGCATTAGCAACAGTTAACTGAGCCATAACAATAGATGAAAATTGTTTTTTGTCGGCATCATTCAATGCCATATCAATATCATCGAACAGCAGTGCAAATGCATCACATCCTAAACAGCGTACCTAGAAAAGGGCACCATAAGAGAAAGTTAGCTGGTTGAACAGGGAATACAACGATACTGCTTTCCCACAAAACAATACATTTTACCAGTCTTTCTAGTTACTTGGAAATTAGTCCTTACATCATAAAACCGCAATCAGATGCAACCAACCTGCTCAGATTTATCATGCAGAGCTTTAATTTCTTTTTCGCTTGAATAAATAATATCAATTCCAGGAGAGAGTGCATATACGAATGTAACATTTTCCATCTTTGCCGTCTGGATCAGAGATTGTAATAACTCTGCAAATGAATAAGCTCGGTATTCTCACCCTAAATTTTTTCCTTGTTATGAGGAAGAAAAGTCACCAACCTACTTCATCGGAATTGTACAATTGCCTCCAGTCAGCTCTATGCTTTAGATCGTCTTTTGGTGCGTAAATGTAAGTGTTCATCCCGAGATGTTTCATTCTGGCGAATAAGTCTTTCCGTTGATCTGCTGTCCATGGTCGTCCATAAAATCCTGTTTTCAGATTGTCTTTTTTTTTACTAGACCGAAACACAAAATACAGATAAAGAAACCACAATGTAGTGCTGTATACATCCAAAATTTTAACTTTTTCCATACCTTCAACAATACCACATAAGAACTGTGCTGCACGACGTTCTTTTTCAGCTTTTGTTTTAGAGCGCGTCTGCATAGTGTAGTATGCAGAGCATCCAATCTAACGCACAGATCAACACCTCCGATATTCTGAAATTATTTACATACATAAGATGTAGCTCATTTTATAGCATACTAATTATAAAATTACACTTACCATAATTCTTGTGATATACAACACATCAGCATTACATAACAATGTTTGAGAAACTACACGACAGTAAAAGTCAATTGTCACCTATACAGAAACCAAAAAATATCGACCAGACCAAAATCAGAAGTATGAAACACTGACAAACTAGTTCAGTAAGAACACATCGATATTTTCTTCTCCGCAATAAAATCCCTAACTGATTCTCTCAATAAAAGCAACCTGTGCTATCAGAATAAGAAAAATAATAAATAAAATCGTGCACAGATACAAAGATACTGAGACTTACTAAAGAATAACATGATGTGATGCTAATCTAAATTTAATATCAAATTTCAGTACGCTGTAATGGACGTCTAAACATAACGTGGGATATTTCATTGTTTGTTACACTGAAAAGAGATAAGTCATTGCTTTCATTCTCTGTGTCCCTCTTACCAAAGATTTGACATTTAAAAAAACTCGAAATGTCAGAAAGTTACTTAAACGTAACTTACGCGCACATATACGTTATATGAACAACAGCAATAGCCCATACCAAGTTGCGAATCGTGTCCGAGCCCATGTCTGATAAGTGACATCAGTGAATCTATTTTTTAATGTGTGACTACACTGTTACCGTTACTTTATTCGTATTATTTTATTGCAGTAGTATTAATGTTCGATGAATTATGATGATAATATGTCTATACTCGCTTTCTTAATAATGTTATCAAACAGTTGCTCTGCTCAATATATTTTTATCCAGTTCTGCCATTCCATACATTCGGTACTAACCATATCACTCTGTCTTTTTTTCACTATCTAGAAAAGGGCTTCAAGTTTACATTCTTTCTTTCTCTCAGTTTGATCTTTCTTTCAATAGCCAAAATATACTCTTTATGTACTTTTTGGGCTATATTGTTCATCTGCACATAGCAGATTTTATAAGCCTACAAAAAGCCTTATAATTTACATATCTTAAGTAAAAGCTTGATGCACAGATGCAGTATTCTGTGAAGGCTTTTTGCAAAAGTTTTATTTTCCAAAAAATCACCCCTAAGCTGTATATATCACAAGGAAAAATTTAAACAGCATCATCAGGATTATTTCGCTCTGTGCAAATTTGTTTAAGTGGATATGAGTGAGTGAGTTTCACAGCTATATCTCAGCTGTATCTCATTGACAACCAAAATTTCAGGATTATGGAGTTGTCTGAGGCAATAGAACGGTCTCGTGTAGATAATGTATTCCTACGAAAAGGTCCTCGACAACCACAGCCAGGTTCACTGGCCCTCATTGGACATCATATGATTTTTTCACCATCTTCGAGTTCAACAAATTCTCCAAGTGGGAAGGAACATAGCAGTGAATTTTGGGTATCTTTAAATGATTTAGTAACAGAATAACAATTTTATGTACTACTAATGAACGACTCATTTTATAGATTTTAAGTCAGATTGTGTTTAACATCAATAGTTAGGGTTTACTTGTATATCAAAGTCAACAGTTACGGTTTCCTATATTAAGGCCTTTAAGAACTTGAGATGTTGAGCCTGGAAGCAGGCCTGCAGCATAATCTGAAGTTTGATTTGGATTTCCGAATATGTTCTTAATTAGCAGTAATAATGGTGACAGTAATTATGTATTTAGTTCCGTAAGGTGCACAAGACTTTTCTAGAACTCGTCTTTGGATCGAAACTTTTTTTTTGACAAGTTATTAGCTGTTGAATTGGTGTAACAAAAATTATACAGGAATGATGAAAGAAAGGCAATGGTTTCAGCTTCTCCATCGTGCAGTGGATCGTGTCATTGTGGAGCCAATTGTTAAAGACAGCTTTAATCGTAGTGGAAAGCTGATTTTAAAATGCAAGAACTTCATGATCTGCATTTTTGAAATCGATGATTTGGATGATTGCCTCGCCGTTGCACGTTCTATAGAAAAATTATCTAATTTAAGCAAGTTATTTATTATTATTGTTATTATTACTAATTGTTTTTATTAATCGTTATTATTGTTAGTATTAGTTGTTACTAATAATAATAATTATTATTATTACTACCGTTATTATTTATTGTTAATTATTATTATTATCAATTGTTATTACTAATTATTTGTTATTATGATCATAAAAAAATTTATTTGTCTACTATTTGTTTATTATTTAAAATTTGTTTATTATTACTTATCACGTATTATTTTTTATTCATTATTTTTGTTATTATCACTACCATTACTTTTTTGTTAATTGCTTATTCAGTCTGAAATACCAGAAAAATATGTAATAGATGGATTTAAAAAAATGGTATGCAGCTATATCAAAAAGCGTCGTTGGTAAATATATATAGTTTCTGATGCTGAATTGTGCTGTTCTAGAGGATAAAAAAGGTAATAAACGAATTTTTGCTTTTCAGAGGGTATACAGCATGACTACCCATTTTATTACCGATGTCCTTTTACTGTACTGGATAATGGGTGGACTGCTTTTGATGCTGAACAAGAATATGCGAAGTTAATGATACGGTGTAAAGATGGATGGCGTATAAGTGCTGTCAACAAAGGATTTCGAGTATGATGTTGTTTCTATTGCATATGGTTATCAGCTTTCATCACTGTGGGTAAAATGATAATGTTTGCTGCATCTGTTCTGATGCATTGTACTTAATTTCTTTATGGGTGCAACTAGTAGGATGCAGTATGTGAAGACCTTTAGACCACTAATTCAATGAAAATATTTGGAAACCCTAAGTAATAAAGTATAATACACTTTTCATCGTAGGTAACGAATAGAAGAGAGTTTTATTCTGGTTTTTTTTTTTTTCACTACCAATAAAAAACCAAAAAATATATTCTTTTAAATAGGTGTGTAGTACGTATCCTGAAATGGTAATTGTACCAAAAGGTATTGGAGATGATTATCTTAGAATATCTGCTACATTTCGAGATGGCGGACGTTTTCCAATATTAAGTTTCTATCATGGCGAAACAAAGGTTTGCTGCGGTATTTGTTAGTTTCACAGTAATTATTAAAAACCATTTGCTATTCATGACTGATAGTTAAATGTTTCTTTTAAAACAACTGTGATTTTTATATCTTCCAGTCTTGTCTTATCCGTTGTGGACAACCGCTAGTTGGCCCTACAAATCGGCGATGTAAAGAAGATGAGACAATCCTAAACTCTTTGTTGTCTTCGACAAGCAAGGGAGTTATTGTTGACACACGTACGAAAGCTGTTGCGCAAAACGCTAAAAATAAAGGTACATGCAGTGGCAAATTTCGTTTAACTTTATCTTTGTTGACCGATGTGCAAAACGTAATGTTGCCATCACAGGATGAAGCTTTGCTATATATTTAGACAAAGAAAGTGGTAAGGAAGTTATAAGATATAATCCTATAGATTTTTTCCAAACAAGGTTGGTTATGATCGTGAATATTTCGATTTCTTATACGCTTGGAGCTTTTGCGCCACTTATAATAGTTTTTCGAGCTATGGAGTCGGTCAGTGTGAAGTTGCTGTTTATTTTCATAATCTTTTCGTTGCGTTTTCAGAAAAAGGAAAAGATTTTTGAAGCTGGAGAAATAAATGCTTTGAAATGACTCTGAATCACTAGGAATAAGATGCTCATTTGATGTAAATCTTGGTTAAAGGTGGTGGATGTGAGTCGCAAATGTTTTATTCACAGTGGAAATACATATATGGTAGCACTCCACGGATTAGAGAAATTCATGATGCGCTAGCCAAATTAGTTGAATGTGAGTTTTCTAATGTCCTCTCGGTTGTATTGCAATGATCTCTCTGTTTCGAAACATCAAGCTTAGCATTCCAGATGTGTCAGTTTTGTAATTCAGCATAGTTCTCCTGCTGTTTTGCATAATCTTTTTTTTTTTTTTTTTTTTCAAAGTTTTAAGAAATATATAATTCTGTTCTGTAGGGATGGTCAGCTTTTGTTAGCTTTTGATGTTTGATAGTATTGCCATTCTATATGTTCTAGTATTCCTATTTTAGTATCCTCACATTTTATATGCAATAAGTTATTCAGATCCAATTCTGTGGTAGGAAAGAAAACAAAAAAAAAAAAAATTGCTAAAGCTGCTTGTGCATTTGGTTTTAAATAACATTCTGTTTTCTCTTCCAACCGTTGACCTTGTTCCAGTGTGTACGGAAACGAATATCAATATTGATCGTTGGATATCTCGTCTTGGTTCTTGTGGCTGGCTTCAGTTTGTTTCTGACATGCTAACCTGTGCAGCAACAGTAGCGCAATGTATTCATTGTGAAGGCAGTGCAGGTTTCTTCTTTTGTTTCCTTATCTATTTAATCAACTACAACAAATATATTGTTACCAGAAATTAATAGGGTGTTTAACTAAAATTGTGGATTGATATTCACATATTTATTCGTGAATTAAACCAATTACTGTGCAAGAATCATGCACATATTTTACGACTACTCAAGTTGAAATATCTCACTTTCACTGCTTGTGAGTTTAGTAAATAAACTCGTGTAACATCCGTTCTACTTCTATTCCGTTCAAGATTTTCAAGGTGATTTATTACCGTCTTTTAAGCTTTCTGAAATCACTTCCAGGAGCGAATTTAGTGGAATTGTTTACTACTTTATGTTTCAACTTTCAGTGAGTTGACAACTTATCTGTAAAACGCCTAACTGTAGCAAACTTCTTGAAGTATTTTGTTTTTAACAAACTGTACGATTTAATTTATTTGGTTATTAGATACATTATTACTTTTTATAAGAATACTGTAAAATAGTAGGGTATGCGTACTGTTTTTGTTTAGATTTAGTGTTGTTGCATGCTGGATATTTTTTAAATGACTGTTTTAGATGTGATATAGAATGTATTGTTCGCAACATAGATAATAGAGTTCAAGCCTTCCGGATTTCGTTATGCGATTTTCTGTTTTTTTTTTTTTTGAGAAGAGTAGAAGACTTGATTGATCTCTGTTTGTGCAAATTGTAAGTCTGACTCAATAACATTAGTAGCTCTGGGCTTGTTAATTACATAGCTAGTTTAGCAATTAATGGTCTGTAGCAATACATTATTATGTGGTCATTGCATTTAGATGTTATCTAAGAATAACAGCAAGATGAAATGGTCATATGATTTCCGGTCATAGAATTTGGTCTTCAGTTTGAATTTTCGCTTCTGTTTTAATAAATTATGCACAAAGCAAGTTGTTTCAGAAGTTCCTGTAGTGGTGCATGGTGCAGAAGGAACTGATTCAACTCTTTTGATAACATCATTGGCACAGCTTCTGCTGGATTCTGATTCCCGTACTATTCGAGGGTGAGTCAGATTGTCTCTTGATGTTAATTTGGAAGTCGTTTTTGTGAAGTTTGTTTGGATATATGTTATTTCCAGATTTGAATCTTTAATTGAGCGAGAATGGATATGTGCTGGGCATCCTTTCTCCTATCGATGCGCTCATTCTGCATTTGCTACCGGTGGTATCACGGGGCCGCATGAATCTCCCATGTTTCTTTGCTTTTTGGATTGTGTTTGGCAGGTTAATCATTTTAGAAGTTGTGATTCACCTACAAATTTTTACTAATGCTTTATTATTTAAAGGTATACCAGCAGTTTCCGTGTTCTTTTGAATTTACCGAAGAGTTCCTCATATTTCTGTTCGAACATGCTTATGCTTCCGAGTTTGGGTCGTTCCTCGGTAATTTTCAAGTCTTATTTAATCTAGCTAATAAAATGGGTTGATGTAATATCATACTGCTTCTTTGATTTATTTAAAGTAGATAAACTGGGTTTTATTCATAGTGGTACTCCAGGGTAATTTTGTAGCTGAGTGAAGAAATTTAATGACAAAAATGAGCATATATATATATATATATAATGAGCTATTCCTTATTGATCAATCGAATTTCTTCGTTTTGTTGAATGCTATTTGCTTTTTTAACCCATTTTTTTTTTATGTAGGGAACAATGAGAAAGAAAAGGCACGATTTGAAGTTAAAACACGAACAGTGTCGCTTTGGTCATATGTGAATAATCCAGAAATATTGTGTACCTACGTGAACGCTTTATATGAACCTAATCCGGCTGTCCTGTGGCCCTGCGTTGCTCCACAAAGCATAGTAAGCCTTTTTGTATTTCATCTGTCTCATCTGATATGCGAAGTCATTTCCAAGTTTTCAGGCATTTTGGGAACGTTTGTTTTTGCGATGGATTCGTGATTGGAAGCAAATGGATGGTATAAAGCAGACAGTGATGCAATGGAAAGTACGTGAAAAGGAATTGCAGTCAAAAGTGCTGATATTGCGCAGGTTTTGTTCATTGTCTTTCTTTTTTTCTTTTCTACTGTGTCACATTTTGAGATGCTGACTTTTTATGTTGTTTAAATTTAATTCCTCCAGACTCTGACAATTTCTGTAAATTAGGCTTCTTTCAGACAACTTTTGGAACTGTCGAAGGACATACAACTCACTAGCGCAGTCCACTGATGTATTTGTCCCCTTCATGTTATTACATCGTTATGTAATTATGAACATTCGAGTGAAAAACATGCATTTGTTTTTAACAGGAGTAAACGCTCTGAAATAACAGCAGTAAAACTTAGCTACCTTCAAACTGATCTACAAGCAGTGATTTACAAACTTACAAGCATCTGCTTCTGCTTCATTATTTTTGTTATTTTATTAACTTCTGAGTTACACGAATCTTTGCTTTGATTCCTGCACGTCTAAAGATTCTGTTACCAGGTCTCGGATTTTTGAAGATAATTGCTAAGCTACTTCAGCGACTCTGTTCTTATAAATGCAAACCGTTGAACCTAGCTATAGCCTCTCTCTTGAACTTCATAACTGATGTTTCAGAATTATGACTTACTGGTAGAAGTGGTAATAGTTGAAGTTTGTAGCTAGTTTATCGCTCATTGCTTTTTCTTATTTCATTCTTTTAGAAGCTTCTAAAACGTTGTATGGAAATGACCTTTAAACATTTTCTTGATCTCACTCTGTGCTTTGTTTTTTATATATTTTTGGATTGTTCATGGTGGATATGAACGAAGTAGCAGGTTTGGAAGGCCTCAAGCGAGTAATAAACTCTACACGATTATTTTGAGGAAATATTTCCGTGCATTTTAACAATCGTGTAACTGGACATTCAAAATGTTCTCGAGGTGCTTCGTTCGTATTAGCTTAGGTTGTTCTCATTGAATGTTTATTCGTGACACATATAAATATTTCTTTGCATTATAGTTGTTTAGATTTTATATTGTTTAAGTAATTTGTTTTATGATGACTACATATATTCCTGTAAATTACAAGTGGTGTATCTGTACACTGCAGTTTTAGCGGATGCAAATTAATAACTTTGAATTCATTGAATGAACAATGGCAAATCCTGACGTTAAAGATGAAAAGAAGAGACATTCTACACTTGTCCAACTTTTGAGAAGGCATTTATAGATGAGTACTTCGTTGCATATACTACAGCACCATTGAAACATTAATTTCGGAACTGCATCATGGGGACGGGAGTCATTTCGTGTGTAATTCTTCAATTTTCTTCGCAATATTAACGAAGAAATCTTTCACATCCTTTATAATCTTCTCTCTGTCAATGTCATCATATTTCATCTTTAGCATCTAAAAATGTTTGGCTGTATTAATTTGATACTGATTATTAATTGTAGCGAAAATAGGGAAAGATCTCTACTTGTCACGACTCCTTGCAGCACTAATTGAGCTGAAATCCGGTCTGACTATAACTGCGCTACACTCTTTACCGCTATAACGACTACAAAGCTATTACCTTCCATAATTTCACCACATAGTTGTATAGGATTTTGTAGTGTTTGTTCACCTGGCATTGGAAGTCACATATCTGAAATCGGTGTTGTTTTAGGATGTATATCTTACACAAGAAACTCGGAAACAGCAAGGAGGCGCACAGTCACCCTTCGAAACATACCATATTCGTCAATGAATATAGCATATTAATAATACTATGTCAGTCAGTTCGTCACAGTTGTAGTTGTTTGAACAACGCAACTGAAAGACGACAGTATTATTAAGGTGGTTTATTGTCATTTATTAAAAAAATAGTGCTTACGTCAGTCGAATTCTCAATATCCAGTAATTTTTGGTCTCTCGTTATCATCAATTCGGTCCCTTTACAGTCACTATATACCTGCAGAACCAATGAAAATTCTGATTTTCTAAGGCTTAAAATTCAATTTGAAAATAAATTCGTGAATTGAATAGTTCTACGAATGCCGGGAATAGTGTTGCGCCAAAATGAATGCTCGTTGAAATAGAGATTTACTGTAGCTTACCTTAATTTTTTTATATGCCTTCAGCGACTCACAATCGAATTGTGCATTACCTTCCACGTCAATGGCCTTAAATTCATTCTGAAGTAACTTTTTCCTATCGAAATTTAAAATATTCATTGTTAACAATGACTCTGCGTTACCATTAAGTCCGGGAATAATTCCAAAATGGATTTTTCGTCAGGAAGCTTTTCGATTGCATTATTTGTCAGTCCTATCACAATAAATCCTCTCAAACGAATGTCTGGCAGTTCAAGCTGGAATTATTAAACCATGTCTTTTATAATGCATGCGATGTGTTTCATTATGCAAATTACATTTTAAACAAAACTCTTAAATATCCAAAATTTCATATACTGAAAGGCCTGAACTTACTGTAGTTCGGCGGCCATTATGGCAATAGATTACTTCGTCATCTGTATCACATTGACACTCATCCAGACAAGGGAACACATATCCTTAATTAAATATGAATTCATTGAGCGAATAATTAGAACTACTGGATTTACTTGGATACATGTTAGTAGTACGATACGTTCATCTGTTAAATTCAGCTACTATTAGACTCTCAAAATACTGATTGTACCCCTTATGATATTATCCATTTTTTATGACACGTTTCTAATCGACTTAACAATGGCTTTTTCTGAACAAACTTACAGGCATACATAAGGTACAATAACTTCGTTCATCCATCAGAAAGATCACATTGAGTCACGTTCTGTATGAATTATGAATCAGTATGAAGATGAAAACAAGCTAATTTGAAATATGCACTTTTAGAACTTACCATGAATTGCTGATAAAATGACTGAAAGATAAAAGGTCGCGAAAAGATTAAAGCTGATCATCTGAAATAGCAAATTCGAATGAAAAAAAAAATGACAAAAAATGTAAATTATCGTCGATTGAAGTGCAACTGAATGACATTCTTTCAGATACCATCCTTGAATGACATCTTTAGCATTGATCTCTTAACACAGTTCAGAAATGACAGAAAGTGAATAGGAGAACAAAAGTTCCCAAAAATTAAGGAATGAATGACTAGAAACTGAACAGCCGCATTTATTTACTTGACTCATTCAATTGATCAATATATTTTAATGGAGAACAACAAATTTTTCAAGTGATTTCTAAATCAAAGATCAACTCCAATTACTGCATTTCTCATTGCGTCCTATAAGAGAGATGATATGTTATTTCAGTCTCATCGTACCTAATATCTTTTCTATCTTTTGTTGGCTGAAAACACTGATTAAAAAAAAGGTGAAGAAACAAATAAACAGTGAATTTTGGGATTTAGTTTTAAAAATATCAAAGTACATCAAAGTTATTTGACGGTGGATGCATTGTTATTGTCATTCATTTGGTAATGAATAATAATATGAAAAAATCCACATCTTACTAGCTTGGAGAGTGGGAAATTACACTTTAGTTAGTCATGTGGTACTTGTAATGCAGCCTACTTGCATTCAAGCTGAGTAAATTATGGCGTAAATAATTAGAACAGCTGTGTCACTAAAATAAGGTAAGATATCCTTGTACAAGTTAGCTTGATTCATCAAAGAAGCATGTAAGCATGCAAATAAGCACAACGACATGCATTCTATTGTGCTTCCAGACAGCATAAAAGAGAACAGTAATTGACCGCTTTCGCTGGCTCAATGTTCATTTTCTCTTGGAAGTGAAGGACAGTGAGAGAAGCAAAAGGAAGCAAAACTACAGAACTTTCCTTTAGGAAGGTCAGCAGAGAAGAGGCAAATGACCTTTGCAAGTAACTAATTGTTTACTTCACTAATGCATAACAATACATCTATCTATCTATCTATATATATATATATGGAAATGGACATTCCTTATTGGTAACTATGAGGAGAGTGGTGCAAAATTACTCCGGTAGTGATCAAGATGGATCCCGCTCATTTATCATCAATATGACTTTTCGACGTTGACTCATGCGTGCATCCTAATGACTCATTCTTCATGAAATGCAAACTGAAAAGCATGCATTCCTCGTATAATTTTCTGTTTCGGTTTAAGCTAAGAAGTGGAACTTTACAACAGAGAATCTTCCTAACTTTTTTCATCCTCAAATTGAAAGCGATTGTTATTGTTGAAAAGTGCCTCTGAGAGGCTTTGTGTAAGAAATGTTTCCGACTTCGGTATATATCGTTCGGGAAAAGCGTTTAAACAGTAAAGCACTTTGTTGAAAATGATGTTGTGATTTAAGCGCTATGGAATGCTTTCCGCTCTCTGTTCCATTTTTCATTTCCCTCTCTCTCACGTATTCCCTTCCATATGCTCTGTTCATGATTCCCACAAAAAGACATCAAATAAACCATTTCCCATACAGTACACTTTCCCGTTCCATACCTCTTCCATCCATCTCAAAAACTTATCCGGTTTACTGGTTTGCCAAAAGTATAGTATGATTTATTACCATTCATACCTTTTTCCATTAATTCCCTTGCCAGTTATTTTACTAAAAGTCATTTTCTTGTGTCTTTTTTCTGGATTTCTTTACAAAAATATCATCTTTCAATACATGTACCACGACGTTAGTAATCCAAAACGGATTTATAGCAAGTAATGTATAAAGAAAAGCAGAAATGCGACAAGGGAAAGAAATGGTGGGTAGATGTTTATGCTAGGTGACACAAAAAGATTAAATTGAGTTTTAAATGAACATTATTTTATTCTAGTTTCATCTAAATCTTCATAGCTTAAAGAAAAGTAAGCGAGCGCGGGAAAACTTCTCGAAGTTTTTAGGGAGTGAACTATCATGTTCAGTCAGATATCACAAGAATTTGCTGTCTTACAATAATTGAACCATTCCAAGGAATCAGAGAGAAACTGTTGGTCTAAACTGGCAACCAATTTCTTTTATAACAAATATAAAATATCAATATCACTAAATCACATTAAAGGTCACTATGATTGTCATCAATATTCTACCAAATGTTTCTGTTCCTGGTTGTCGTCTTTAAAGCCAATATCTTTTAACTTTTTGTGTTAAGAGCACAGAAGATAGAATTAATTTGATATCATAATATCAGCTAATGATAAACTTTTGCCCTTTCTTCAGTCTTAATGTCCTTTCCCTTCCTGTTATTTTTCTATACTGTTATCGAGTTGTAAAACCGATGTAGCTCTTATTGTTCACATATCTGTTTGCCATTATTTCATAACAACTTTTATTATCCTTAATACTGATAATGATAAGGATAAATTGGAAATGTTTTCGAACGATTAAACTTCTGATTATGTATTCCACATTCCGCAATTCAGTAGTCTACATTCACTTCAGTTTACTTCAACCTTTTCTTTGGACAGTGCTAAGTGAGGATTTCATAAACCTAAAAGACAATTATTTGCACTGTCAGATGACTGTATTTCACTTTCCTTATCTTTCAAGCTACTTATATTTTAGGTGATATATTTCTAGAAATCGTATCCATGGTATGGAAGTTGACTTGGTCAGGCAGTGAGCAGGAAGACGAAGGACTAAAGGTCGTATATTGTGATGTAATTATGAAATAAAGATGTTGATAGCTCACTTTGGAACGCAAATTCTCTTCTTTATGCTTATAAATGCAAATTTCAGGTACTGCAGAAATTTTGCAGAAGAAAATACCGACATTTTCTTACGAATGCTTTAAAAAACTCAAAAACTCACAAGCTAGAGTCTATAGAAGCTGAAAACGTGGATTTTGTTGGATTGAGTACAAACAATATTACCACGGTAATACTGTTTAATATGTGAGGTGATGTGCAATAGAAGTGCTTCTTCCTTTACCATTTTGCATTTTTTCTGTTCGCTGCTTGACCACTCCATTTAAAACTTTTTGAAACTTTATAGATAGTAGAATGAAAGAACAACTGTAGAAGGGATGGATGAACCAAAACATAGTTGATACTATTATGAATAGCAATCAAACATTGAAGATAATAAGCAACATGTCTAGAGTATAGATTTAACGCTCCTTTTTGCGCTGGAAGCACAGTATCGCTTTACGGTCGAAAGAGCAGGGCTTATCTCCCGGAAGTACTTGTTGACGATATCTGGTGTAAAGCTGAATTCAGGAAGTGTGTGCATAAAGTTTTTGAGATTTAACTTTCAGGATACTACAGATTATGGTAAATACAGTATTTATAAGGAAGGAATCAGTCAGCCAAATGTATATGATGTTATCGAAGAAATCTTGAACAGTCACGGCAAGTAAGTTGTTTAATTTATCTCGAACATATTAAAAGAAATTAAATCACAGTGTAATTTTGTCTGTACTGTGTAGCAGTAGTGATTTGCTTGAGTATAATGCTTAACTCAATGGATTTATTTGTAGCCATATATGAAGGCTAAGATTAGATAAGTTACTTATTGCAAAGATGGAAATATGCACATGATAGTAGAGGTATGGATAGATTAAAAATGTCTGGATATCAATGCAGTGATCTTAATTTTAAGATTACTTTAATGAAAGTTTTTTTCTAACTGAAATTGTATAGACTACGTTCTTCATTCTTATGTTCACGAACAGGCCAAACCGCCATCATCCAATCAATTTGTTGTGGTACAATCTTGAATTCAAATTTGGTCGTTGGGTCAAATGCATATTACTATTGTTAGTGCTAATTGCATATGCACTTGTTGGTGGCTTGCTTGTTCACCAATTTGAAGCACCTGCTGAACGTGAGCTCATTGCTCAGCTCGACCGAGTAATTTTATCATCAATATCAATTGTCGTATTTTTTTTGGATCCTTATCATTACAGGATCATTTGGATCCTTATTATCATTAACTTACAGCAAACCGTAGAGCGCCACAAAATTTATGCGAAAAAAATATCAGGATTGTTTACATCGCCACACTGTTACTCAGCAACAAAACAAAATGATAGTCGAAGTAGTACCAGGGTGAGCTTTCTAGAATACTTCCAATTGCACAATAATTTCTTTGTCATAAATCCTTGAGAAAAGAAATTTGGTTTTAATTATAGTTTATCATATAACTAGCTATCTGTTAATGAAATTATTAGCTAAATAATAGCTAACAGGATGTGCTAATATCCTTTGTGTAATCATGATTTGAGTTGTTAGGCTTATGTGAAAATAAGAGAGAAATTTCAATCACATGCTTAGGAAGTCTTTATCTTCTGAATTGTGGTTAAATTGAAATGTGGAGCATTCAATTGGATACTGTAGATAGCACCACTTTTAAAACAGATAACATGTAATAGAAGGCTTGAACTGCTACTAGAGGAATACGACGAACTAATGGGTATCTTGGCTTACAAACACAATCTCTGGAGATGGGCCGATTACTGGAATGCTGTGTTTTATTGTGGCACTATTTTCACCACCATTGGTTTGTTCTTCCTTTTTTTGTTGCGGAACCTTACAAAGATTTTCTAAGAGTCCTGATCTGCTAAATTTTTTCCGCTAATAGTGCTATATACAGGTTTCTAAAACGTTATTGTAAAATTCAGGATATGGAAATATATGGTGCCGAACCACCAAGGGCAGGATTTTTACTATTTTATATGCTTTATTGGGTGTGCCGTACATGTTGGTAGTACTGAATGAATTTGGAAACTTGATTCTTCTTTATGTGCGCAGTATTTGGTTTTTTATTCGAAAATGTTTTAAATGCTTCACACAATTTGTATTAAGGTGAGCCGATTGAAATTTTAGCATAAATATGTTGCTGTACATACCTTTTGCCCATAATGTAACTATTTAAGGTGGAGAACAAGAGAGTATCAGGTTTCTAATGAAGCTCAAATTAGAATGAAAAAAATCCATGAAGTGGTGAAAAACAATAACTGTGACAGCAACCAAAACGTTTGTTTCTTACTTTTTAATACATTTTTTTTTTTTTCACTTCGTGCAAAAACCGCAGAGTGAACTGAAAGATTTTTCAATTCAAATTGGCAGGTCGTATGAAA